GAAGATCTTATTGTGGAACAAAGAAAAAATTTAAAATTAATTTTAAGCTATTAAAAGGTTGTGGAATCATATACATTTAAAATGTGTGTGTGTTTTTCTGTTTCTGCTCACAGGACAACCAAGATTATGAGCCAGAGGCATAAACATCACATTCCAAGTCCAAGTCCAGCCAGCAGCACAAAAAGTTTATACAAATAACAAGTACAAATCCTAAACACAATAAACCCTGTTGCAAAAACTAAAAAAAAGTAAAAAACAAACAAAAATATATATTCCAGTTAATCCTTCTGAGAAATGTTCTTCCTATCAGATATATACTTTTATTATGATCTATTGTAAATGTCATGTTCTGACGGTAACGTGTTGGATGTAGCTCTATGCTGACTGCCGGAGGGTGCTCTGTCTCGTTTCCTTGCCTCCCTCCCAATGAAACGAGACCTGCCCTTCCCATTGTGACTCTTTGTACTTGTGTACCTGCATTTCTATATGTGTAATAGATGTTTCAGATCTTCCAATAGCATATTGGGGGTTAAAATATCTTCGGGTAAATATGATATTATATATAGCTGTGTGCAATGCCTGTTTGTGGGATTTTACTTTCATTTTCAATTTAATATTGAAGCAAGCTATTTCTTTAATGTTTTTGAAGTAAGAGTTTTATACGTTGTAACTTTATAGTTGCTTGTGATATCATTCCAGTGGATTATTTGTTAAAATTGGGCAATTTGTATCTGTGTGTATGTATGCGTTTGTGTACTGGAGACTTTAAAGTTATTGTAAATGTGTCTTGAAATGTTCATGGATGTGAGGTCAATATGTGCTTTACAATGCTGGAAATGTCAATATTAAGGTTTCTGTGTCATTCAAGACAAGTGAATCCTCTGTAAATAAAGAAAACAAACAAAAAAGTTCCATGCGTAGTCCTCTTTTTCTTTCTTTTCCCAAAAGCTATGTCTGTATACAGTATGCAACACTATCACAGCACCACACAGAAATCACACATAAGCATGTAAGAACATCTTGGCATTCAATAACAAAATGTCAAAACAAGTGCTTATAATAATTATCTACCACTTAGTTTGCTGTTTTATTACAGATTTATTATTATTCCATCTTTTGGCTTCCAGAAATATTACACAGAGAAACTAACAGAGGGAGTGACGTCCTCCCTCCTGTCCTCTCCCCTGCCTCTTATCAACAGGATGTCTGGCTGTGTCTCCAGAACAGAACGTAGTGCTCTACAGACATGCTGAGCCCAGCAGAATGAGTGCGGTGCCATAGCTCAATAGCTGGCATACCTGCATAAGCCGGGCACCATTGATGGATTAGCATGTGCAATCACAGGGGAATGTGGTGCCCTCCGGCAGCAGAGGGTATTTAAGGGCCCCCGCTGGCAGTGTCCCGTTTACGCCGAGCCGGTAGGACTGAGTGTGTATGTGCTCAGTATCATGGCTTCCTTTAAGAAGTCTCTGGAGGGGCTGAAGAACACAACACAGTCAGCTACTAAAGACGTCACTGACAGTGCAGGTACTAATGGTTACACGCTGCTCATCTGGGCTGTCATTTGTTTATTTGGTAACATTCATTTTTAGTTTATGAAAGAACAGCCGTCTACTTGCTATATATGTTTTATTATTGTGCCTTGAGTGAACTTTGACCAACAAAATGTTTTCATTTAATATTAAATACATTTAATTATTTTATCATTTATTTGCTGAATTTTTCATGTTTATTATTATTATTATTCGCTATACTTTTATTGATTTGGTTTTAAAATGTTTTACATTTTAAGATTTTTTTTAGTTTTAAGATTTTATTTATTTCAAAATTTCCATCAAATTAAAGTAAATGAGTAAATTATATATATATATATATATACTTTTATATATAAAACTTTGTTTTAAACTATATAGTGTGATAACTGGCAGCGAAACTATCTTCACTTTGGCATTAATTAAAATTATTTACTTGACAAAGTTAAGCATATTTAAATAATAAAAAATTATATACCATTTAATTATTATTTATTTATTTGAGTGAGTGAGTGAGTGAGTGAGTGAGTGAGTGAGTGGGTGGGTAGTACATTTCACCATGCATTAACAAAATTTTTGATGCTGCTTTATAGAGACCTTTGTCAATGTGTGTGAAAAACAACCAGCATGTTTGATAATGTTATTTCAGTTCAGGCAACGCAAGATGTCGTGCACCAGGTGGCAGAGTCTTCCAAAGAAACCACCAGTGCAGGTGAGAGAAAGAGTCTGTTAAATACATCTGGATAAAGATGCACTTAAATGTGGATGTGTGTGATTTCACAGCTTTTCAGTGTATGCAAATCATCCACAATCGTATTGTACTGCACACTGAGAATATACTCTGCATAATTTTGGCATGCCATTGTCTTAATGTTTTAAATCTAAAAATGTGATTGTATTGTTTTCCTTATATCTACCAGTTTATTTGTATGTTGCACCATGAAGAATATGCAAATGCATCCCTAAAGGAACTCTCTGTCTCTGTGCATGTGTATATATACAAACAGCTGCTGAGGAGGCGTCCAGACAAACACAGTCTGCTATAGGCACAGCTGCAGAGAAAGCATCAGACACCATTAAGGAGTTTGGACACAAATTGAGTTCCAAATAAATGCTGCACTGCTCAAACTATCCGACATTCCTTGTTATCAGATTCAATTTAACACCTTGTGAACTGAATCATAAAAAAAAAATGTATTAGCGACTTTGTAAACGTATCAGCTCGATTTCACCTGCCCTTCCAATGCAGATTATTTCCTAAAGATTTAATTTCAGTTTAATTGTTGGTCATCCTATATTCCAAAGCCTGTTCAAAGATGCTTGTGTTTCGATAATACACAATACATTCCGTTCAGCTGCTGCAGTGTCTCTTTATAGCCATCCGATGTGCTTTTCTATTCTAGTGAAATACGATGTGAGGATATAGAGTGTGCAAGGACACATCCACTTTCTTAGTAAAGAACCCCTTAAATTATTATTATTATTATTCTCAGCTCCCACGTCACTGGAAGAGGAAACGGTGTTATGTTGCTATGGCAACATAACACAGGTAGACCACAGTGAAAGAACTTTCATTCAAAAGTGCCTCAGTATTCCTGTGGATGTCAAGAGATGATGCTTTTGATTACAAACAATAACCCCTTAAATAACATGCCAGGTGTTGGCTGCTACTCACCTACATGTGCATCCTGTTTCAAATGTGTTGCACAACTTAAAATCAGTCTTTATCAATTCAGTGTAGTTACAGAAAAAAATACAGAGAGGATCATTTCAATTTTTTTAAGTTCATTATATAGTTGAAGCTGATTTTTAGTCAGGATGTAACAAGCGTAGCTGACATTTTCATTATGGATGCATTAGCCCTATAGATTAACTCACTATATATTTCATGCATGGAAAGCTGCTGAGAATGAGCTGCTCTCACCCTTAAAATCAATGTGTGGAATATTTCCTGCAAAGTTCAGGAACAGATATGCTTTGTGTCAAGCACTTAATGTCAAACCTGCCATAAGAGCAGCAGCTGAGCCCATTATACCTTATTACATGTGCTGTCTAAGGTGTTGAACAGACTTGGTCTGATTTCAGGCAGCTGAAAGTAAGAATAATCTATAGGTCCTTTCCAGTTCCTTTAAAATACAAATATAAAATGTAATGTTTATTTTGCAATTATGGCATGTACATTTTTAGAAAAATCATCATACGATGCCAGAATGTGTAGGTAAAAGCTATTAAATAGAAACAAATATCTTGAGCTCTTTATTAACTCTTTATTAAGGCAAGACATCCGAATAGGGTAAAAAAAAAAAAAATCTGATATATATCACCATACTTCTCCAGTTGATTGATTACATTAAGAATTGCAAACATTTTTTATTACAAGTTTTCTGAAATGTTATGTTTAAATATCTAAATGAGGCATTATCTAATTAAATATTAAGTAATAATAAGTCTCGAATAAAAACCTGAACACTGTATGAAGCCAGGATCAAAATTCTTGTTTCATTGTTGACATATTAGAGTCAAAGGTTTTTACTAGGGATGCACCGATACCGATACTGGTATCGGTATCGGGCCCGATACTGGCCTCCTGTACTCGTACTCGTACTCGTTAAAATGCCCCGATACCAAACGCCGATACCACACAGCATGTGATAAGCGCCATATTTAAACAAAGAAACACTGACAACAGACAGCAGAAAGGAGTTATGGATGTCTACTACGAAGTATATGTATGCAATGAATATAATGTTAAACATTCAGTATTAACGCCTGTATAGCTGATGTGCGCGAGCTGATTAACAAAGCACGCTGAGTGGATTGAGCGCGCGGCGGCGCAGATGCGCGAGCTTGCCGAGTGAATATACCTCTTTTTGTCACACTAAAAATACTGTCAACAGCCAGAATATATATGTATGTGTTTTATAAAATAAGGAAAATTATATATGCACAAACCCAAGTTTTCTGGCTCAGTGCAGGAGAAAAATCTCGTTTTGAGAAAGAAAAACCAAAAAAAAAAAAAGTATTTTGAATGTTTTCTTTCCATAGTCTGAAAAAAAAAAAACTTTATGAAAAGCCAATAAGCCCAAAATCTCAAAATTGGCCAAATGCATGAAAAAAAAAACGTTTTTTGCTTGCAGTGTTTAGCCTTAAATAAATTAGCTGTTTTATATTGACGATAAAAGCAGTCAACATGTACCCATTAGTGTTCATGTCAATGGTAGATGCAAATGTCAAACTGTTTCATCCTGAGGAAAGGTTTCTCACCACAACTTAATTTACAGCTGATCTCCAGCACTTTTGGCCCTCTCCCCCGTATTCTCCACCTCCACATCCCCTTCATCTTTACATCCCTATCCACCTCCTCCTCCTCATCATTCACCTGCAATGACAGGCAGCATCCTCTTGTTTTCAGAATATGGCACGTGTTGTCTGAACACTCCCCCACCATTACCATGAGAGAGTGCGATTGGCAAAAGCCCTCAATTTTTATGGTGAGAACATAGACGATAGAATACAGCTCTCCAGAACACACTCCTTTTCATGGTGAGGTGCAATGGGCCAGTGTGCACGCACATGCATGAATCCAAAAAGCATAAAGTTCACTACTTACCTGCAGTTCACTAAAATTCAGACAGAATATTAATTAGAAGGTCTTTTACATAATTGCAGCAGTATAGTGACCTACACCATCCACCACCATGTGAAGAACACAAAAACAGATGAAAATGTGATTTCATTCTATATATATTTATTCTGTTATATAAGAAAAACTAAATTGTATCAAATGTTTTGTTCCAGAGATCACAAAGACACTACTGGTGCACCCTTTTAGTGTCTTGTCTGCCAAAGTAAATGCATTTCATATAAGTTTTTATTACATAAGAGCCTTGTTTTTGTTTTGACACATGGATTTTAATCACCATCATTTGCTTCTGATTAAAAAGCTACAGATACTTTGTCATTTCATTACCACTCACTGCCATGTTGAGTCTGGTTTCCAGGGAAACTAAAAATCAGAAGCTTTCAGTACTCTCAACCACAGTGAAATTTCAAGGACCGCCATCCACTGAGATTCTTCTGGAAAACAAACCATCTACAGCCTGCCTCTTATCATTACCAGCACCTAAAAGAGGAGCTTGGAGTGTGAATACATGCTCTGGCTGTGAAATCTTTGAAAATATGGATACAGCGTTTGATCTGTCGTGCAGTTGAGGTATGTGTTTTTCAATAGTGGTCTCACTGTGTGCCATCGTAGTTTTGTTTTTAGAGGATACTGTTACCAAGCAAGTTTTTTTGTGTTTGTGTGTGTGTGTGTGTGTGTGGATGAACCGGATCAGAGAGCTGCTATGACATAATTGGATCTCTCTTTTTGAGGAAAATGAGGAATCAGTTTATTGGCAATCGATACTGTTCTTCCTATAAATATTGTAAGACTGAAGTTTGTTTCATTTTTTTGTTAATTATTTCAAGAACAGAAATTATGATTTTTTTTCAGTGCCCGAGATCATCACAAAACAGTATGATTTGAACTGAATTTTACCTAAAGTAATGTTTTCAGAAAGTACTGTTTTTGTGTGTGTGCCATCATTAATGCATGTCAAGTGCTCTTTTTTTATTCATTGCACCTACATTAATGCACTAATCAATTTATGTGAATTTTTTTCCAGCAGAACCATCAGTGGTGTGAGACCGTGAAGCTCAGACGTTTCACTGCCCCTCTCCCGGATCAACACAAACCCATCTCTGAACCCATGGAGGGTTCTGTTCTGACAGAAAGTGAAGTTTGGAAGGTTGGCTCGGAGACCAGCACAAGTATAAACACCAACGACAGAAGTATTGACTATTTGCCCCATATGAACGACAACATAACTGATGAAAACCTGTCAAAAGCATCTGAAAACCCAGGGACCACAGTCCAAGAGATCTGTGGCAGCATCCAGGAGCAACCCGACCAAGAGGTTACATCAGATCAAATCAAGTCAGTAATTCCACATGAGCTGCGATTAGAAGAGGATTTATCTTCCTCTCAAACAGCAGATGAGAGCGATGAGCCACCTGCGGCAGCGTGCAAACAAGAGAGGTGTGTTAACCAAGCAGAGGATCCAGCAGATAAGATGTGCTTGGCATCTGGCCAACATAACCTTGACCAGGAGATTACCATACTGGTGACCAACCATGACTGTACTTTGGAGGATGAGGAGGATGAGGAGTTTGGGGAGCAGAAGACTTCCAGCTGCCCTGTTGAACCCGAGACTGTCTCTTCAGTTGAGGGTGGAGGAGCGACTGAGGAAGAGAGTTTCGATGGTTCCATCGTCGTGGTGAACGTGATTGAAGTCAGTCAAGTCCAGAAGACCAGCGTGATAAGCCACGCATCAACTGAGCAGAATACCACCACTGACGAACCAAGATTGCCTGGAGATCCAGGGGATAGTAGCAATGAGACAAACTCTGGAAGCAAAGGTTCAAGCACCCCACAGAAAACAGACGCAAGTAGCACAGGCGCTAACACAAAGGCCTCGGTGGAAGTTTGCAGTCCGAAAGATCAACCCACAAAGCCTGAAGATGTAGAAGTAAAACTGAGGAAAACCAAATCAGCTGAAACCAAGGATGCTGGACGGCCTTTGCAAGATACGCTCGCCTTGACTCGGTCGCCTGGACGCACACAGCACGTGCAAACCCAGGTTAGCCTAGAGGTGATGTACCAGTCGGTGGCCACCAGCCCCATGACTCCTCCCGAGGGCTCCACAACATTCCTTTTTCCAAGCACCTTTGGAAAACTTGCCAACAAGTGTAGTACAGAGGTGGCACAGACCAAAGATGCCGAGTTGCAGGTGGGCTTGCAGGTGGAATTACGTTCAGTCGCCACGGCTCCTATGACCCCAATCGTTCTGACCCCACCTGAGGTAATTCCCGAGCCGGAGCCACGGATCGGGGTGACACCAGAAGAAGAAGTGCCAGAACACGTGCAGGAGGTGAGCTGGGATGAAAAGGGAATGACTTGGGAGGTGTACGGTGCGGTGGTGGAGGTGACAGTGCTGGGCTCGGCCATCCAGAAACACCTGGAGAAACAGGTAAAGAAACAGAAGAAACAGCCTTTGGCCTTACCCTCTCCGACAGATGCTCTGCCAGCAAACCCAACCGAAACATCTATGACGATGCCTTCCAGTCCTCCCCCCACATCAGACCTTGGTGAAATCAGCCTGGCCAAAGGACAAAGTGAGGAAAAAACAGTGCAGAGTGGCAGGCGTCGACAGAATAATTTTCGCCAGTGGTTCAGGAACATCCGGCGGCCAAGTTGTTGTTCAAGACCACGTCAAGATGAGGAAAACTAAGGAAGGCATGGTAGTCTAAAGACGTGCACAGGATTGGGTTTTGTTCCAATGATACGCCCCTTTAACAGACTTAAGACATTTGAAATGACTTGTATTGACACTGCGTCACAAGAAGCCCCTATATGGATAATCATCATTTTTGGTTTGGTTTGATACACTGCAAATATACAGTCGTCTTAATTTCTCCTCGCTCTTGACTTTAAAATGGCTCCTACCAGCTTTGCTGCTTTGAGTGTGTTTTTGCTTGCTTCTGTCAAGACTGTGCTACCCTGATGTTGTTGTGGTCAGTGAGGATCACTTTTAAAGTGCCCTTTTACAATATTTTACACTAATAATTTTACCTTTAAAATTTATACATTTCAAACATGTATATATGAATTCATCATGTACATTTAAGGAACGGTAGACTACATTTAGAGTGACAGTCCCAAGCAGAGGTGTCGTGCCCATTCAAAGTGAGGGGGCACGTGCCCCCTCAGATTTTTGAGCCAAGTGGATTTTGAATGCAGCTTCCAAAAGACAATAAATAGCTGATTAATATTTTCTATATTTAATACAATCACACCAGCATGATTAGAACGTTCAGTGCGTCATATCATCAGCTGCTAAATTCAAATCTGTGTCCTCTGGCTGGCGCTGAGCCAGATACAGACGCGTTTTTACAGCACTGTGCATTAACCAATCACACGATGCTGTTGAGCTTATGGATGCAATGCCGACCAATCAGAGGTGCTCAGATGAGTCATCGCTAAAATGCCGGTGTTTTCTTCACTCGCTCGCTGTCTGAATACCTCTTTCTGGCTAATTCTCATCAGAAACAACAAAGTGTACAAACACGAATCTGTAAGATATTAATTTCATAGTGTAAACAGCTTCAGTGATTTTAATGGGAGTATATCATGACGCGAGCGTGTGCGGAGCTGACCCAGATCCGGCGTAATGACGTCACGCCAGATCTGGGTCAGCGCCGGCGCCGCGACACGCTCGCGTCATAGTACTGTCGTGAACGCGCGTCCAAATTGTAAACAGACAGGTTTTTATGCATAGTTAATAGATTACATTATTAGGTTACTTTGACCATCATAGATCAACATAATCTATAAAGGTAAGCATCAATATATTTCATGATATAGTTAATGCGTTTGGGGTTGTTTCGAATAAAAAGGAAAAAATAAATAAAACATAAGTGCTGTTGTGGCTGTGTGTCACATGACGACACACTGTGCACTGAGAATTTTTTTTCTCCAACTCTTACATTTAAAAGTGCATTGATGATAACGGTCTTGTTGAGATTTAGAGTTTGTCCAAATTGAATAAATTGTGAAATTGAGACTTTTCTCCTTTTTTGGCAGGACCACGTATAAAAAAAAAAAAAAGGCATATAGGTGGAGGTCAGAGGCTGAATGTTAGAGATCAGTGGTGTCTATGGAAGGGTTTGCAAAAGTGAGACTGGGGCTGTCTGCACCTCTCCTCTTTTCTCGCTGGGCCAGTGCAGCACCCAGAGGCTCAATGTACGGAGATTCACTCCTTTCATCCTCCTCCTCTTCCTCCTGAATTACCTACCGCACAACAGAAAAAGTAAGTACTCAAAACATACTCAGCTAAAGAACTTATAAAGATTTAAGAAGCACTTGTGTCCCAGCATTTATAGAAAAATGTGTCTTTTCGCACTATAAGTGGCACTGGAAATATGCGTGAAATCCTGTGGAATTCAAGTCTGCCATCACATTGAAAATCTGTGATTCAAAAAAACTTGGGAACTTTTAGGGTTCTGAATTAGTTTTTAAGTAAAATGGAATAAGAAATATTTTAGCTCTGTCACTAATCAAATAAGCAAATCAGTGACAATGTGAACGCCTTTGTGAATGCCTCGAATCATGCTGGAGAACATGATTATCAGGTTTTACACAAACTTATGGAGGTCATGCAGCCCGAGTGCTGCTGTTATTAAAGCAAAAAGGTGACAACAAATAGTAAATAATACTTCAATTCATGTTTTGTTTTTTTTCAATTAATTGTTTCACAAATTGTTGACTTTTACTAGTGGTCTCAGACTTTTGCTCCCCACTGTATATTATCTTTATTTTAATAATACATTTACCATCATTGGCATAGTGTCTTTCTCTGCCATGGTCATATCGATGTTGTAGTCCAAGGAATTAAGGCTAAAACAGAACAGACACACAACATACACACATAATCAGAATCTCACAAAGCAACTCTTCTGTATGAAGACACAAAGGACATTATGGGGGAAAAAGTTACCAGTAAAGACATTTTGGACCAGTAACGTAGCTTGAAATAAAATCAAACACATGCTTCAATTAGCATGTAGTATAGCTTAGTGTGATTCTGAGAAACATGGGATCGCCAACATCACAACATTAAACTAAAACTACTGCTAGTGAAACTCATAATCTACCATTACCCACAGATTAGTGCAAACAGACGCTATCTGTCATGGAGAACCACAGTATTGGTCCTGGACAAATGGCATACTGTATCTTAAATGGATTTTGTAGATGCCATTTAAGTTCATTGGCAGAATGTGGGCTCCCATGACAAGATAAACATGCTTGCAAATACTTCCATTGTAGGTCAGTGGTTTCCATCTTTTACAGTGAAGTCAGTTTTTGAATGTGCAATCTGATATCGTCTTTTTTTTAGATCATTTCAGAGCAGGGAATATCACATTTCACCTCTCACTGTCTAATGTATTTACATGAAATCACAAACTGCCTGAGACACCAGACAATTGCGATACATTATGTAACTAATAGGGCTGTTGATTTAGTGTTTTGATAATTTAGTATGATTAATAATAATAAAAAAAGTAATAAGTAAAGTGTCACATGCCCCTTGATGTATACACTACAAATCAAAAGTTTGGGGCCCTTTTTTTGTGAAAGAAATTAATATTTGTATTCAGCAAGAATAAATTAAATTGTGACAGTATAATAAAAAAATTAAAACCAAATTAAAAAGTGGCAGTAAAAACATTATAATGCTACAAAAGATTTTTGTTTAAAATAAAAGCTGTTCTTTTAAACTTTCTATCAAAAAAATCTTAAAAAAGGGATCAGTGTCCATAAAAATATTAATCAGCACAAATGTTTTCAACACTAATGATAAGAAATGTTTCTTGAGCACCAAATCATCATGTAGGAATGATTTCTGAAGGATCATGTGACTGAATTTTCAGCAGCCATTAGTCTTCAGTTTTGCTGTCACATGAATGAATTGCATTTTAAAATAGACAAAATAGAAAAAAAGTTATTTTAAATTGTAATAAAATTTCACAATATTACTGTTTTTACAAATAAGCATAAAACACTTCTTTCAAACTCTTGAGTAAATGGGTTCCAAATGGTAGAGTATGCCATTTTAATAAATTAACAGTAATTAAATAAATGGGGTAATTTAGCACAATTTGAAAATAGAATGACAGTGACGATATCAAATTAGGCATGTTTGTTGGTGAGTCTATAAAATGTTCATAATTTTTTTTTCCCCATAGTGTTTATAGTCTGTAGAGCACTGTTATGGTACCTCTCTCTGTCTGCGCTGGAGCCATCTTCGTCAAAGCCTAGGTCTGTGGCCGTGTCAATATTCATATTCAGCACTGGGTTTGCTCTGTGGAATACATATCAGACAATCTCACACAACAGCCTGCTGATGAATCCCTGTTCAAAATTATATAACGGGCCATCATTTTAGGCAACCTGTGATGTCTGTCTTACCCTTCTTTGGTGTATTTGTTGGTTCCAGGAACAACAGGGCCGGTCTTCTGATTCTCTATGACCACTGTGGCAGCTGAATTCATGGCTTTGGCTGCCTTCAGTTTCCTCTTGTAGCTAAAGGGTAGAAAGAGACCCAGCAGCGTTAAGTTGAAAATCCGAAACGGTCGCAGACAGAATGAAGAAACGTGTGCATATGTGTGTGGGTGCACATCAAGCAGAGCTATTTTAAATCTGTTGAATCTGGTTAGCAGATTTGTAATGTGTGTGACCCAGACTGAGGTTAGCGGGTCTTCCATAATGCCATTGTACTGGCTCCATGCCTGATGTTGGGAACAGGTCTGACAGGCGGGTTCATGCAAGTTCACTGTAAAGTAAATACACCCTACATGACCTGCAGTGCCTTCCCATCCAACTTGGGCATGGTTGCTAATTTTAGCCCTATAAATATTACAAATTATTTAAAAGTAGAAATATAAATGAATGGTATAATACAGAGACTGATAAGCTGTACCAAGAGCATCATTCAAACCAAACAGTAAGTGTTTCTTTAACATCATTGAAACTTGAATGGCTAATTCAGTAGATCTTACTTTCTTCTGATGCACACGAGTGAGGTGGTTGTTACAACAAGAACTATCGCCAGTGCAGCCATCAAACCAATCATGATGAATACCTCTGTCTTAACATCTGTAGACTCGGTAACAGTTGTCGACTGTTATTAAAGAAATTTTAAAAAAAATGTAAAGCTTAACATGTTGATAACAACCTTCATGATTAACTTTTGGAGTATTGGGAGGGGGATTGTTTTTTGTTGTTGTTGTTACTTACAATGCCAGTAAATCCAAGCTGAGTTAGTTGGTATCCATGTTCCTTGTAGACTTCCTCTGAATTCAGGATTGCGGTCACTGCATCATAGTCAAGAGCTGTGCCGTTTGGGAACACAAAATAAGCCTCCAAAATGGTCATCTCTTCAGCTCTGCAAAGGACATAAATTCTGCTGTCATTGTTTTATAATTGTTGTATTATTTATATGCTATTATAGCATTTATTTATATATTAAATTAGCATTTTTATATTTTCAGTTTTCATTTTACTTTTAGTAATTTTATGTTTTTGTAATTTTTATTAGTTTCTTTTTAAATTTCCAATTAGCTTTAATACATTTTTTTATTTCAGTTTTAGTTATAGTATGTTTAATAGTTAATCTTAAACTTATTTTAAGTTAGTTGCCAAGGCAACATTACTGATTTTCGTTTTTAAAGTCATTTTTAAGTTTTTCCATCTAATATTTATTTATTTAGTCCTAATCCAGTTGTCAAATAAACCTGTCACGGCTGTGTCGAGGAAGGCACACGAGAACGAAGATACAAACAATAAGAAGTTTAATAACAACCAGGTAGAGGATAATCCACAGATATGAGGGGTAGACACACACCAATACAAACGTATATGTTGATATAAAATACCGAACGAAGACTAGAACTAAGGAGTGAGTTTAAATAAGGCAGGCAGCTGATGACAAACAGGTGATGGGAATTAACTAATGAACACTAATGAATCAATGAACTAAACTTGGACAGGAACAGAACCAAATAAGGGCACAGATGAACTAAACAGACTAGAAGACTAAACAGAGTGAAAAACAACAAAAAGAGTTCATAACTGTTACAAAACCATTGTATATTACAAATATTGTTGACTCCTTGAGAAGCCTTTGTTCCACTTTTTGAAGTCGCTTTGGATAAAAGTATCTGGTATATACATAAATGTAAATGTATTTTAATTAACATATATTTTTTTATATATAGTTTTAGTTAACTATAACAACACTGAACATTCTTTAAAATGTCTTATTTTATATTCCACCGAAGAAATAAAGTTATACAGGTTTGGGGGAGTATTTGAAAATTTTTGGGTCCCTTGAGCAGTAATATAAATATCCTGTTTGTAAATACACTATAAAAAAATGATATGATCAGTAAGTCATGGCAACTCACGTTTTTACAGTAACTCATCAAAATACATTGAGCAATTTCAACTTTTTTGATTCAACTCGATTTTTTAAGTAAGTTTAAGTTACGACTATGATGATTATACTTAAAAATTTAAGTCAGCAACTGAACTTGAAATGGGTGTAATTTTTTTTACAGTGTAGATACAATTTTGCTGGTCTCTTGCCAAAATTAAATCCATAATTCTCTGTAATTATGCCAAATAAAGGAAACGTTTGCTTAATAACAGTAGCACTGACAAGACAGGAAATCTACATGGAATTTTGAATCTCTTTGGGAGAGAAAATACAAACCGACTTGGATTTAGTCTATGATGTACACGCCACCTGCTGGATTATACATATTATAACAGGAATGAAATAAAAAGATATTCCAGACTTAACATGAGTTTGGTGAGATTCAATTTAGTTTACTGTATATGTATACATGGGGATGTGGGTGATTGAATCTTACCGCTGAGTAACCGTCTCACTAAACACATTGAAGAATTCCACCGTTGCTTTTGTAGCACTTATCAGAATCCTGTAAAAAATATCAAACACATTTATTCCCTTTGACCTGAATTTGAAAAAAGCATCAAATAAATAATAATCATGAATCACATTCCAAGTGTCCTTTAAAATAACACTTCTTCACACATCAATAGATTCAAATCAGCCTTAAAGTGCATCTCTTACGCTCTGATCTGAGGCAAATTCTCATTGACTTCAGACACAGATGCACTAAATCTGAGACTGACTCTGTAGGAGCTGTCAACTGTGAGAAGCTGCAAAACAATGCAATTAGAAAATGACTAAAATAAGCAAGACTGAATGAATTAATAATACATCGAAGGGGTGAAAATACCCTACCTCAACCACAGAGGTGGAACTGAGACCATCAAGATTAGACGCCTTCACCTGAACCATGAACTTCCCTCTTTTATTATTTTCCATTGCCTTCTGGGACCTGGACATTATGAAGAGACATTTGCTTGTTTACTTCCAGTTTAGTTCCTTTGGGGTGTAACCAGCCACAACAACATTTTGACTGATGCACATTGAATAGTTTCTATTTTCGGATTCTGTTTTAACTTATTCACACAGCATTTAAGCCTTCAGCATGGACAGACAAATTATTTAATGTTGGAAACTTGCCGCATCGCACCACATTACGTCTATTCGTGATTTACAAATAGGTTAGAAACTTTAATTTCTCACCGTATATGTGCAGTGAACCTTCCGTCAGCATCTTCCTGATCGGCAGAGTCGGCGTAGAGAAACAAACTCTCTGTGGAATTCCCTTCACTGCTAACAAAGTCCACCTTGGTAACTTCAAATTTGCTTTTCCTGTTCTCTCCCGTGTCTCTGTCTATGGCCTTAAAGATGTAAAAGGAAACAAACCCGGGGAAATACTTTATGGAGACTCAAAGACATTATATTGTAACATAAAAAAAAAAATCACATAACAGTGGATAAGTGGATATTACAGCACAAAAAGTGACATATAAAAAGACCTCAAATTGTCAATAAGTGAAATATCACACTTACATAAACTCTGCCAACAGATGTGCCCACCTCAACTTTCTCAATGACTACAACTAGAGAAACAGAAATATGTTAAAACTTTTTTCATAAATAATATACATTTGCTTATATGTCAATCATTTATTTATTTATTTATTTTTGAATATAATTTTTGTGTACCATAGAAGTCCTGCAAGACAACAAACTCTGGGGCGTTGTCATTGATATCCACAATGTTAATAGTGACAACTCCCACAAGCAAGTGAACAATATTTTATGAATATTTAATGCACTCAATAAAGACCAAAATGATTAATGGTACTGGTTAATATGAGCGAGGGAATGTGATACGTTTAACTTAAAGGAACTGTGCACCTAAAAATAACAATTCATCCACATATTGTACAAGTCCTGTATTTTTCTTAATTTTTTAAATGTTCAAGTTTAAAATCACTTATACCTAATGAATGTCACATAAACGGTCGTGTTTGACAATATGCGACCAGAAATCAAATCTAAAATTGTAAAACAAAAAATTGCAATTGGAAAGGACCATCCTATTTTTATTTATTTATTATGAAAAACACCTGTTTTGCTCTATTCACGAAAAAAAAATTATATGAATTGGAACATTTTTAGGGTGAGCTATTCCTTTAACAACAGAACATACTATGAAAAAAAAAACGGCTAGCGCAGGAAAGAAAGCACTTTTTTAATGGACAATATGATGCAACAGAACGTACCTTCAGTACTGTCTCTCCTCTTCTCAGTTAAAACATCCACCACCTTGGCATTCATGAACACTTTATCACATTTCTCAAAGTCAATATCATAGACAGTATTAGTTATCACATCACCGTTACTCTCAACTTTGAACCACTCTTCGGGACATGGACCTCTGACGCCATTGCATTGGCATTCAGTAGAATCAAGCTCATATTCTAGAAGGTGTTCAGTGTCCACATCTTTGCCTTTGATTGTGCCCAGAGGCATTGACAAGGTGCTGTTCTCTTTTACGCTCAGGGTCATGTCGGATGGGAATTCAAGTGGAGTGTCATTCACATCAACCACAATTACTTTCACTGTTGTCTCAACCTTTTGCTGACCCAAGTCCGAGGCCTCCACTGTTAGATCGTACGTCTTGCGGTCACTTTCGTAGTCCAGCTCAACAGCGGGATCCACCGTGATGTTGCCCCTGTAACCTTCACTGATGTTCTCACTAAATAATATGAAACTTCCAAAACTACCATCAGTAATACTGAAGAAGATACGATTATTGAAGTCTGATTGGTCGCCATCGTGAGCCCGCACAGAGCCAACCCATATGCCTATAGAGGGGAGACAAAAAGTTGTCAGTTTTTACAAAATGTTCATATAAGTTATTTCTTGAAAATAATTATGCAGTTCTGGAAATTTACTAAAAAATTACTTAAAATCGTAATGAATTTGTTCAGAAAAAGCACAAGTTACCTCCTTCACTTTCCTTTACTTTAAATTCGTAGGGAGCAGGATCAAGGTACTGTGGAGAATTGTCATTTTCATCCTAGGAAAAATAAAAAGAAAAAAGTAAGTTACTTAATGAAATTAATGAATTATACTTCAATATATTTCTAAATCTATTTTTAATAAATGCATATAAATATATGCACATTGCTTATTGTGAAGACAATAAATGATCAATAAATCAATAAATGGTACAGTCCATCTCTAACTATATAAATGCTGCACTCTCACCCCAATGTTGATGGTCACTTTGGCTGTGGAGGACAGGGATGGTGTGCCCATATCTGAAGCGATCACCATCAACTCAATCACACCATCTAGGGCAGGGTCCATAGCCTCACGGTCCAATCGACCATTGTTTTCAAGCACACCAGAGTCTTGGTCTATGGTAAAGTTACTACTGAACGGGCTGTTGTCAATGCGATACTGGATTATGCTGTTTGGGTTTTTTGGGTCGTCTCCATCTGTAGCCTTTCAAAATTAAAAAAACAGGTTTTCCTTTAGAGACATAGAGACTTCCATTACATTTATTCACTTGACAGACACTTTTATCCAAAGCAACTCACAGTAATTTCAAGGTATACAGTTTTTTTCTGTGTTCCCTGACAGTCAAGTCCATGACCTTGCTAGCACCATGCAACTATCTACTAGTTACATGAGTAAAAGTGGCACACAAAACATTCACACGATCTATCTTCATCATTTTAGATGTCTATGCTGATTTCTCAATCACCATTACATCCATAAAGTTACCTGGATTTTAAGCTCTAATTTTTGGTTCTCTTGTACATAGGCCTCATAAAGTACTCTGTTCATCACTGGTGTCTGATCATTAATATCCAGAATGTTGATCATCAAAACAGTGGTACCAATCTTGCCATCTGAATCTATGGCCTGCAGGGTGGGTGAGTAGGAATTGGTGCCTTCCCTGTCAAGACGCTGTCCATTTTTTACAACGATAGTTCCAGTCTCTGGATGAACATCGAATAACTCCCGCCTGATGTACATTTAGGAAAAGAAAAAGAAAAGAGCAAACTTGCAATGACTAACTGAGTAATTTTGTCCCAACCAAATGATAGCCGATTGAATATTCAACATACATGCTTTCCGGCATCAATTTGTAAGTGAGTTTGCCATCATCCAAGTCATCTTCATCTGTTGCCTGTCAAACCAGAACATTAGTGAGTATCAAAACAATCAATCTTAGTCACCACGAAAAGGAAAAGTGAGTAAATAGAAGATGCACTTACAGTAATGATGCCCAAAACAGTTCCGTCATCACAGTGTTCATCAATAGAAAACTCATAAACATCCTCCTCAAACTCAGGAATGTTGTCATTTACGTCATTGATGTTAATCGTGATAGAAGCCATAGAGGTGAAGTCTGCACTGGCATCTTCAGCAATAATCTGGAGAGATATAACGAAGTATTAAAACTGCATTTTATTACAATTTTGTCTATTGCAAAGAGGTTTCAAACAGGTTTTCTGAATGCTACTCTTGTTTAACAGGAAAACAAATAGTCTTGTCCTAAATTCATGGCATTGGTTGAGGTTAATAGAGAGTAAAGAACATTTCAGGCAAAATATGAACAGCTATTTTGTTAATTTTGGCTTCACCACCTATATTTATCTATCTCTCTCTCTCTCTCTCTCTATATATATATATACACACACACACACACACACACACACACATACATATATATATATATAAACCATCGAAGTGATATTCTATGCAGTGAAACATAAGCAAGTGAAGTGACAAAAAGAGTCAAACGTTCAATGCTGCTATACTGTAAACAATTTTCTTGCAATACTGCTTGACCAGTCAAATTAAGCAGCTGAAACGAACTGTCTTGTATAAAGGTAATTGTTGTTTTATGGCTGGCTACTATCATAAATGCCACCCAGTTTAAAATAATGTAAAAATAATAGAAAAATATTAAAATAATAAAATCTTTCCTGGTTTCTAGTTTGGTGTTATTAACTCAATGCAGTAAAGACCACTCTCCCCTGTGTTTGTGACTGGCATGTTCTTCAGTATCTGTAATCACTCTAAAAGTAGGCAAGGTCCTTTTCTCTAAGCTAGGATACAGTAATTCTGGCACTGGCCAAACTACTGGGCCCCGGCTATCTTATGCGGTAAATCTCCAGAGACACCCTCATATACAAACCTGAACATACATTACTTTCTTCTTCTCATAATCAACAGCAGATGAATCTTTTATTATCACTTGCACAGAACTTTCTCCCACCCCAGTGCTGGGACTGACAGCGAACACATCCTTATCAGGTCCCTCAAGACGGAGATTAAACCTGCTGTTTAGCCCCTGGATCATAGATAAAATAATCATCAATACACGAGAAACATAAATAATCATAATAAAAAAATCTCCTCAGAAGAAACCATGCAAATGTTGTAATTACAGACCTGGTCTGGATCTTTGACTCTTATATTCAGTTCATTTACTGACAGTCCTGCAGATGAATTCTCATCAACTTTGCCTATGAAGCTGTTTTTCTGTGTGCAGGTTTCAATTTCACCTTCACACTCATAAAATTCAGGGCCATTGCCATTCACATCTCCAATAGAAATCTGTAGTTCTCCTATTGTGCTTGCAATAACTCCAACCACATTACAATTTGTTTCACTTCCCTGAAGTACAGGAAGAAAAAATCAGCAAAAAAAAAAAAAAAAATCAAGTACCGTTCATAAAAATCATAGATTATGATAGGTACTACAAAGGTTAAACGTAAACAGTGACATTAGTTTGCCGCCAAATATTGCTGCCGTTAAATTGTAATCAACCTGATATCATAATAACAGGATACAATTAAATTCAGAAGTCAGTAACTCACCTTTATTTGTAACATTACCACAGCATTTTTATCCAGTAATTCTTCACGGTCAAATACAGTTTTGATAGATATTTCACCAGTCTCATCATTGATTTGGAACAGGTCTGGTGCATCAGCACCTGTGCAACAGGACAAAAAGTCATAATGGCCTAGAAAAAGCTGTTCTACATAAGGTGGTCTCTTCTCATGGTGGCTGCCACATTAAGATCACATGACCAGCCGAATACTACTTACTATATCTTTATCATTGGTGACAGAGAATAGAGTATGACATTTGAGAGCCTGTTTACAATTGAAATAAGCAAAAAAAAAAAAAATACAAAATATAAAGTCCCAAGTGCATTTTAAAAATACAATTTCCAATTGACTGACTTTCAATACTGTAGTGGATCTGGTCATTGATCCCAGTGTCTGGATCTCTGGCTCTCACAATAAAGACTGATGTACCCTGAGAGTGTACAGAGAAAGATTCAAAGGTGAGAGATCATTATGTGTGTGTGTGTGTGTGTGTGTGTGTGTGTGTGTGTGAGATTGGGAATGACATGTACTAAGGAGAATACATTTGGTATCTGTAACCTCTCTCCTCTCTCCTCCACTCACCACAGGTGAATTCTCATCAACAGCAGCAAGGTCAGGTAAATTCAGAAATTGTGGGTCGAGATTTGGCATATCCTTAACTGTAATGAATGCAATTACTGATGAAGATTGAACTACGTTTTCTTGATCAATCAGTGGCCCACCACCATCCTGACGAAACCAATGATCAGTTAGAAAATTACAGAGTAAACAGCATGGATAAACCTTTGTAGATTTTGGGATTTCTTTTTGCTTGTTTTGTAAAAATAATGAAATATTGCAATGTTTTTATACATCTTTTTTTAAGTGTGCATCCCATACACAGATATTTTCCCTCATTCAAAGAAAACCCCATCACTTATCTGAATATAATACTTCATAAATAAATACTTACAGATGCAATGATTCGTATCTGATAGAAAGGACTTTTGTCAGTGAAGCTCAAAGGTCCCTGCAGAACAACAATTCCAGTAGTCGGAGAGATTGAAAACAGGCTAGCCCCATCATTTGGTGTCACCTAAGACAAACTTACTGTGTTATGAATACAATTAAAGTGAGATGTGGGGGTGAAAATGCAATTTATGACTTGAAGGGAACATACGTCATCAATTTTGTATAGGACACAATAGAAGCTGTGCCAAAATCATAATCTATGGCGTTTGCTCTGAACAGTGTACTGCCCACAGGTTCATTCTGCAGGAGGGAATAAAAAAACATATGTGAACAAACAGCTCAAAAAAATAAACAAATGCACATTGTCACTTCTTGAAGCTCTCTCTCTGTGCTAAACACCTCAGACTGAGAGTAAAGTTAAATTGGAGCAGATTACAGAATTAACCCAGCTGATTCACACAGGATCAACACCATCACAGCTTGTGGATCTTAGCACCTCTTAAATGATTAGTTCACCCAAAAATAAACATTCTGTCATCATTTACTCATACTCATGTCATCCCAAACCTGTTTGTTTGACTTTCTTCCGTAAGATGTAGACTTTTGTACAACAATGTACTTGTTACTTTTTTCAGTGCAATTACAATGAATGGAAACTGAAAATTTCAAGCTTCAAAAGGGACACAACAGCACCGTAAAAAGAATGACTTGTGCGTAATAGTCCAAGTCTGTCTTCGGCCATGCCATACAATAGCTTTATGTGGGGAAAAAAAACTCGATTCAAGTTCTACATTTATAATATTCCCCTAAAGTGTTCAACACACTGACTCAATGATCCTGTTACTGAGATAATTCGTAAAAAGGATCATTAAAAAGATCCGACCAAAAACTGGAGAGCTAGGGAAGATGCTTCAGTGAATAACACATTTTACTTATATTGCAATACAGTAGGCCTACTCAAGTCATACTGGCTGCTTTTATGAGGCTGCTATGATACTTGTTTTCTGGAACTTGGCAGCTCCAGTAGTTATCTTCTTTTGCTTCTCAGTGAAAATACATCTAAATCACCTCACTCATGCCTGTGTTTTATGACTTTCTTGGGCCCTCGTCTCGCTGCTTTTTTGGTGTCTTGTGTTTTTTTTTTTTTTTTTTTTCTCAGCGCCTTTTAAAAACACTGTTAAACAGTGCCTGTTTGGGCCAGTAGGTGGGGCTATTGTCAATCAGAAGGTTTCAGCTTATTAGGTAATAATAAAACTGTTCGGTGAAATTGAGAACTTATGTCTAACTTCTGTGCAAACAACTGTGCAGAGTTTACAATGTGACCTTGTAAAGTGAGCCTATAGTTTTGGGGAAATTGAATGCAATAACAGCCTATTCTGTCATTCATAACATTTTTACTTATTTAAAACATTTTGAACCCTAGCCACGGCCCTGTTCTGAAAGATAGGAGATGAGTACATGACACAATTGTCAGGTTTAGGTGAATTATTCCTTCAATGTAAGAACTGTAAGGTGTTGAGCAGTTACAGCATCCATATTACATCCATAATACACACAAAGTATAACAGGCTCACTCACCTCTGGAACCTCTTCATTGTAGGGCAGATTTTGGAATACTGGTGCATTATCATTAGCATCTAAAACAGCAACATAAACTGATTTTGTCACCTAAAAGGGCAGAAAGACATGTTGGGACTCAGGAAATTTAATTTTCTGAGCATTGTGATACTTCCAGTAGGTTCAACTTACATCTGCATAAACTCCATCATTCACCACAACCTCTATGAGTAAGAGGTCTTTTGTCTGAAAAAAAGAAAGCATAAACATACACAAAGTTAACCGGTTGTCTTTTATGAAGAGTAATTTTAATAAAAAATTGTTGTGGAAATTATTTAAAATTCACAATTCCCAACTTTTGTCCCTTCTCCTCAATTCAGGAATAGAGAGCAGACTCTAACTCCTAACAAATACCTCTCTGTCCAGCATACTCTTGATTCTGACTTCACCAGACTCTTTGTCAACGTCAAAATGACTAGAGTCTGTTCCAGCAATACCATATGTTAGAGGGTCACCATCTGGATCAAATGCTTCGATTTGAAACGCAAGTACACCTGCCGGGGAAATACATAATTAGGAAAATGTTACATGCATACAAAAATGCAAAATGGGATTGAGCATATAGTAGAGACTAAAATGTACAGACCTACTGGACGATCTTCTCTCACATTTACCACAGCCATGTTAATCACAGGGATAGAATTACAGTATGCTGCAGAAAACACAAACATGAACCAGCATATGAATCATAATACAGCAATTCTAAGAAAAAAAAAATCTTATTTAAAATAACTAAATTTGTGAATTCTCCTCTGTAAGTGACAGTAAAACGTAATTACACTGGCTTCTGTCCAAAGAGTGTATCATTATTGGATTTGGACTTTGAGCTAATGCAGTGTAACAAGCCACAACTTTTTGATAGGCCTAGATAAAATGGACACTGACTAATTCTCAGATACTCACAAGAAGCTAAAAAAGCAAAAAGGAGAAGTAATGGTTTCCCCATCTTCTCTATTATTGTCTGTAAGGCTGTAATATCAAAGAAACAGAACACAAAATCACCATTAAATGCAGAATATTTCCACCTCCAAAATTAGGCGATAGAACGTTATGAAACACACACACACAAATCTAAAAAGGAGAGATCAATCCAATGCTGCAATTTAAGACAATAATTAATAAAAGCAAATCAATCTGCCTTATTTAATTTTTTTTCAGAACTTCTTACATTTCAATCCCTGGAATGGTTGAATATCATAAATTTGCACTAATTTTTCATCCAATATACCCGTAGCTAAGTAAAATCACAGCTTATATCTTTTTAATATCTCACATATTTCTCCTAGACATCAATGAGATTAAACTGAGACTTTTGCTATAAAGTCCCCTGCTTAGATTTGTCAAGATACCATAGTCTACAATCAAAATTTACATACCCATCATTCACAAAAGAATAATCTCTAAAAAGTAAAGCTTTATAAGCTCTTGATCTGCATGCCGTCACTGAACGCAAATAGACATACGTTGAAAATGATATAAGGCTGATGAAGACTTACCGTGGCCAATCTGCTCTTAGTACTATTCCAACAAGTGGCGTTCTTCAAATGAGGGAACAATATATAATATACAAGACCTCTGGCTAGTGCATCAGTGGCTATTGCTGTCCTTCAGTTGTAAATGTTATTCATTAAGATTGTAGCAGAGAAAAGGCTGCGTGTTTAATACAGTCTTCTCACCCTGATGACAAAGCTGCTTAGTGGCACCACAGAATCAGATCCTAAAACAGTGTTCAGAGAATGGTTTAGAAGAACAACAAGTGTGGGTAGGCAAACAAATGTCACAACACATTATGTCCAGAATAATCCGGCCCATTCACACATTAATTCAGCAACTCCTGAGCAAACTTAAAAGATACAAGATTAATGGAGGCTGGAACAGAGCACAGAGAAATAGCATGGAGAGAAGAAATGTTTTCCTATGTTATTCCTATGTAATATATATATAAGAATTATGGTTGAAAAAAGAAAAATGAAAAGATGTATTTTACCTGATTACACGAGACCATAAAAGCTATAAGAAACCACAGGACAAAGGTATGGCGTAGCACCATTTCTAGTGAAGTGTTTAGCAGGGCGTCTACTTTCTAAGCCAACTATAGAACCATGCATCTTTACATCCAGTTTTTATTTTCTGGCTATTTCTCGGCATCACCCTAGTGAGCTGGACATAATGTGATCTGAGAGATTCCAGGAAGCAAATGAGCTCATTAGCTATTCAAGAACCTACCTACCCTCTGCTCGGCTCTACCCTCAATGAGCCCACTTCCCTTGTGGGCCTTCGTAATTAATGAGAGACGGACAAAAGATTTCTCTCCCCTGGGGAGAATCCTTTCCGCTATCAAACAAAAACAATGGAGGAACTTTCTCCTGAGGCTGACAGAAGAGCTTGTGTTTGTCTCTAATTGTTTGGTGTTTGCCATGCTGGACATGCTGTGGAATGAGGGATCAAACTAAAGCCACTAGAGGCCTGAAGATCAACTAATACTAAAATACATTTTTATTAGCAGCAACATATGCTCTATTTTGAATTATACAATTGTACAAGTGTGTCAATAGTAAAAAAACATTTTTATACAAATACTTGTATAATATTATATACAATGATACAATAAATATAAAATAAATATAAAATACAAATAAACTGAAAGCATGTATTATTAAGTATTAAAATTAAATATATACTAAATAACAATATACTGTATGTACATGTACATATTTATACAACAGGTTTGTGCAGCCTTTGACATTGTATAAAGTCACAACAGAATGAAATAATATTAGAAAAGAATAGATAATATATCTAAATATGACAATTGTGTATATGGAGAAATGAACAAACAAATACATTTATATATAAATATTCTGTGGGGATCTGTGGTTCAGGTATCAATGTGAATTTGGGTGTGTTAGAATAGTACATAAAAATAGATAAATCTATCATAAATCTGTTTACTGGACCTTATATTGTAAAATGTGACCTGTTCGTGCCACATGTATCACAGTACACTAACATGCCACCCTAATATTATCTTCTTAGATTTTGGTTTATGATTTAGCACAATGATGTGAAATGGCTGAGGCCCAATGATCATAACCGTCATGTCTTTAGTGATAGGCACGTTGTGTAATTATGCTGGGAAATTAAATAACATTTAAAGGCGTCATGCCATAACATTCACTGTAATAACAATAAGACTGTGCAATAAGTTTTGGTTTGATTATTATACATATAACCACTGTCTAGTTAATCATTAATAGATCTAATAGATTTCCATAACACCAAAGTGTTTTGCTTATTATTTATTGCGGTCAACAGTGAAGCCATCTCGCTAACCAAAGGTTATGAAAAGTATGGGCCTGGTTAAGAATATGCACAAAATAAGCAGACAACAAACAAGCAAACAAACATACATTATGCCAGTCCCAAACAACTTGTTAGACCTGAGTGAACATATACATTCTAGATGGTGTTTTCATATGATTTATAAAAGAGAAAGACCCTCACTAACACACATTAAGTAACATTGTAACATCTTTTTTTATTAAGAAACAATGTGAGAACTGCGTGATGGTGCATCATCTAGTGCAGGGGTGGGCAAACTTGGCCCTTCCAGGCCACTTTCCTTCAGAGGTTAGCTCCAACCCTAATCAAACACACCTGAACCAGCTAATCATTGTCTTCAAGACTACTAGAAGGCTACAGGCAGGTGAGTCATATCAGGGTTGGATCAAATCTCTGCAGGAAAGTGGCCTGGAAGGGCCAAGTTTGCCCATCACTGGTCTAGTGTCTATAGCCTAGTTCCTCGTCTAGCCAGTAGGGGGAGACAAAGCACATTCTAATCATAGAGTAGAATTTACGTAATGTGACCCTGATTAGTTTTTCCATAAGGGATGCAAGAAATCTAATTGATAATGACATATGCCTCCCTCATGATGCAAACAGCTTTAATAATAAAACAGTGCACAGGTGTAATGTCATCATCATCATTATGAAGTAAAAAATAATCAAGTCAGCTATCTATTTTTGTCATTGAGGATGCCCGACGAGGATTTAAGCTTTCATTAGTTTTTATTCAATGCGGAGAACAGGATAATAGGACAGTCTATGCAATGACCTAATCGTAGCCCTGTGATATTGTTAACCAAGACTTGACATTGGGACCTCATGAGGACAAACTCGTCCAGTGTTTACGGTAGAGCAAGACATCTGTGGCAAGCCGTTTTAACATTCATTCCTATTCATTCCATAACTAGTATATTTTTTTCGGTATCTGTTTTACCTGGCATGGTTGAATATCATAATATCACATCCACTAATTGTTAATTCAGTGTACATATATGAAAGTAAAATCACACATAAAATCATAAAATCTTCCAGACAGAAGAGAGATTCAATGTAGAGGAAAGAAGACTAGGCTACTAGCACTTCTTAATTAATATTAACAGTTCGAATCGTGATCTATTTCAGTTTTACTAGTACTTAATTGAAATAGCATCTACTCCAATTGTTTAATTCTCTCATACCTCTGACAAGTCAGAATGGATACTTTATAGTTCATTACAAATTCATAGACTGCTAGTTAACAACTGGAATACAAACTAGTGTCTAATAAAAAAGGCTGTGCTATATTTTAACTGTTACAAGTAACTAAAGAATAAAAACTAGCTCCTATTTCAGTAGGACTTAACTGCAAATTGTGTTATTTGTTTGATTGTATTTATCACTATGGAAGTGACTGCTAGCAAAGGTACAACTTATTGTAGCCAATGAATAAGTAATAGTGACTAATTCAATAGATACTTGTCAATACTGTATAATAGTGACTAATTAATAGTAATTTCTACTGAAATACTAGTATCCAATCAGTAAATACGCCTACTAGTATTTAATAGACAGTTATTGACACTGAAAAATATACTAGTTGGATAATTGTTATTTACTAACAATTAACAATTATAAGTAGCTATGGAAGCCAGTCCCCGCCACCAGGTAAATAAAGGTAACTGCAACCTCTCTGATTTTTTATTTTTATTTTTACTTTTTTTTCTTGCAAATCTCATTTTTTTATCTTAGAATTTTCTCAGACATAAACTCGCAGTTCTGAGAAAAATGTACAGATTCTGTTTTTTTTTTAAATTCTGAGTTTATTTTCTCAGAATTGCAAATTTATATCTCGTAACTTTCGTTTCTTTCTTTTTTTTCATCACATGGCGGAAACAAGTTTCCACAAAGTAGCACACTAGTATCATAAAACAGACACTATTTCTACGGAATAATGTTCAAACGGCTTGCCATAAATCACCGGCCTCTAAATGCCCCTCATAGGGGTATGTCACAAAAGCACGCAAACAGGCTGCGGATGATGCTGGGTTCACCCGAGTGCACTGATTTCTCCGAAGTCTAATGCACTCAGAGAGTGGTAGTTTTGCGCGAGATGCGAAGAGTAATGCCATATTCTGCTTTTATTCCTCGAGCTCGAGTTTGTACCTTTTTCCCAATTCGGTGGTGAAATCCACGGAATGTTCCATTAACAGGAACAGCTGAGGATCATGCCGCACCGAATATGGGAGAGATGTGCAGGATTACAAGGAGAAATGTCCGCGATTGAGATGCTCACAAATTAACAATCAGGTAACGCACGCGCCTGAGTCTTCGCGTTGATGGCGTGGATTTCCGTGGGTTTTCACGGTCTTGAATGCATCGCACATAGGTATCGGCGTGTTTTTATGCGTTGTCCCCCTAAAGCCCCTCCTTGTTTTGTTGCTGTAATGCTGTAATGTTTACATTGGATTGGAAGTGCATGGATGGATGGGACGCGGGTTTGCTTGTCTCGCGCTTACCTCAGATGTGCGTGATAGTGTGCACGCGCAGCGCATGTTAAGCTAGAATCTGATTTATTTGAGTTATTTTCCCGTGAGTTAAACATTAGCAAGGAAGGTTACATTGCGGTGTTTTCTCTGCAGTGAAGCCAGTCGAGAGGCCCTTTGAAAATGCTGCAAAAATTATTCCGACCTATGCGTACTCAGACGACTTAAACGCAAAGATTGTTGTAAAGAAAAACAAATGCTACACACAGCCCTCATCGTTCTCATACAGTCTGCTTCATGCGTTGTATGATGCATTTCCTAGAGCAAGTAAAATTCGTATTTTTTAAGATTTCAGTTCATGAACTTGAAAAGTGCATTGAATAAAGTAGATGTTACTTTGACCGCCCCTCAAGTAAAGACGCTTGTATGTGTTTCTGTCCGCCGGCTAGCCATTTGGCGCAAGGCTTATGTAACAGACTGGGCTGTGTCACACTGTCTCTGATGGAGAGGCGGATGAGAAATGCTAGAGAGAACACTGTTAGATGCTCTCCAACATGATGTTCTTTCCTGCTTTTCATTTAGTCCACAATAATAATAACAACACAAATAATGATAATAATTATTCATAATAATAATAAATAAATTATTTTACTATTATTATACCATAATTAAAAACAATGCTTTGCAATGACACTTTATATCATACATGAATGTATATAATAAAATCACAAAAACAACTTAAACATGAAAACTTAAGCATTTTACTCTCGTTACCCTTCAATTTTATTTTCTAGTAATCATCATCATCTTCAGAATCATTATATTGTAGGCTAAAATATGTTAAACTTTGTAGTTAGATGATGAAAAAGTTAATTTGTACATTATTTCCAACATAAATTGTAGAATATATAATAATGTAGTAATTTGCATGTTGCAGTGGTTTAGCGAATTACTCCAAACTATTCTGTAGAAACTATAAATCCTATATTTTACTCTTTCTTGATTCCATTTATAAATGCTATATGAAACATGAACATATAGGAGATGGCCAGTTTTTATAGAAGAAAACAAGAGATCCATGAGTTACCTTTGTGGGTAATCAGAAGTTCAGGAAGTGGAGAAAAGGACTTCCACTTGCAATAACTGTTTGTTCGTATTTATTTGTTCGTTTGAAGCATCCCTTTGATTCTTTGACATGCTGTTTGAACTGATTTAAGATTATATTTACCTTGTGAATTGCATTGTTTTAAAGGAATTGAATAAGATGCTCTCTGAATGATACAATATGACTGTGTTGCATCACCCTTGTCTGATAACTGCAACATATCCCTTGTGACAAACAACATCCCCTTTATCTGGGACTACCAATGCAACCTCAAAATGAATGTCAGTGGCATAATAAATCATCACCGATAACACGCTCTACCTGCTATGCTTGTGTTTAATGTTTTGACTTCTGCAAAACACAAATCATCTGACTCCATCTTTTGGATTGCAAAACACTTTTGGGAGCTGAAACGAACTCTTATAGTGTTTTCACACTTTGTTTTTTTTTGCGATCTAGCGATTTGCATGGATTTTGACATACATTTGAATGCTCCAAAAGGAGAAAGTAAAAAAAAAAAAAAAAAAAAACACCCAGGTTTCACATTTGCATGAAAGTTGCTAAATTATGACATACATATAATGTAATATTATTCTATAATGACTGAATTTGCTCAAATTTGCCTCTAAATATGTATTCATCATTTTGTGTTAATGCATTCATTTTGTTCTTTTAAGCAATGGAAAACAAACAAAAAAATAAGCTATGTAATAAATATTATGATGCTTTTTGATTGAATTTGCAAAAATGTGCCTCTAAATATGTATTTTATATCAGATTGTTTTATTGCATTAGAGCTACAGAAAACAAAACTATATATAATATATTTTGATGCCAAAGATCCATAAATCCATATTTTTTATTGAAAAAGCAGCTACATGAACCCCTGGCCTGTGCTCTTTTTTTTCTTAAGGGGTGTTAAACATAACTAAGTAATTATTCTCAGTAATAATCATTTTAAATATTACAATAATTTTAAAGTTAGATTGTTTTCTTGAAAAAACCAAAGTGAACTAAAGTGATCCAAAACGAGTGTGAATGTAAGAACTAGGACCCTTTTTGATTCATTTCACTTTTTGGACCACTTAAAGGGGTCTGCGTTTGTTTTAGTAAAGAGGAAGTGTGAAAACATCCTTAAAGTTGGGATCAGGTTGGAGCGATTCGACATCAGCATCTAAAAGTGTCTGTCTCTGTCTCTTGCGTGGTAGTTTTTAGAGGAAGAAGGCGTGACTACAGGCACACAACAATATTGAACTGCACCCATGTCAGACTCGCAGCTCAAACTCATTTCGAATGCATCGGACATAATAATAAAGGAAACAACAAGTGCACGCTATAACAAGTTTGTTGGAGAGAAGTTATCTGATGTTAGGCAGCAGAGGAATATGCATTTTCTCTTTCAATGCTGAAGAGCAACGCCTGTTCGACAACAACAAACTCAAGCCCGTGGACGTGAACTAGGAAACGGACGATGCCTGTGTGTTAACCATGACCGTCTGCTAGTTTTCCCGGACGGTTTCTTTTGGATTAGTCTGTAAGTTCACCAAACGTGACATACTGCATCGATTTAGTCGCCAAAAAGCAGCGCGTGGACGAGTCGGAAACTCGCGCGCCATTGAAAACAAGTAAGCTCGGTTGGTGCTATCATACTTTGCTTATTGGACACAAAGCTGTCATATTCCACCTAAAATAAAAATGAAACCACTCTTGGTAGTCAGACGTTTACATTCATGACGTGCAGACTTTCTAAACGTGGCGTTGAAGCTAAACGATGTTTCTTTTGTCAGCGGTGCATCCCTGCATTTCCTGTTCAGCGCTTCATCTGCTCCGGCTGTGTGCTAGCGATAGCAGCTAAGGGCTTGGAAAGTGCATGCGATTTGTTTAATCATTTTTATGTTATGTACAAACTCCATGTAGCATTGAGAACGTGTTTAAAGAGCACGAGGGCAACTGCGGATGTTTGCACGAGCCCCGCGCGTGTCTGTAAAACTTCGGCCTCGCGACTCTTTGTGCTATTGTTGATGTCCACGGTGTGGTGGGCCACGATGACACTTTTAAGTGTTTTATTCATGGGAAATGTGCACAGTCCTTATTTGAAGCATGCATAATGTTCAAATCATACCCACAAGCCCTTTCAAGTGATTATTTTTGATAAAGTGAGGCATGCGAGGTTTGGTGGCGCTCCTTTGTTATTGCTTTGTCTGTGTGAAAGCACATGGCCCTCCACGCTTTTGTTGTTGAAGTTACAGCTCCCCCTCTTTGTGGCAAATCAACCCAGTCTTTCCATTAAACACGGTTTACGCTTCCAGTTTGTAAGTATTTTTTGGTATCTGTTTAATAATTTTACACATTTTACGTTTGAATGTCATGTGTAGCACGATGAGAAGTTTATGTGTGCTTGTGTGAATTATTGCACACTCCACTGATTTTGATAAAAGTAATAATGTATTTGAAATCTGTATATATATATATATATATATATATACACACACATACAGGGTTTGTATAATTTCAGCTCCCCCAGTCTTCTTGTACTTCAAAGATTAGACGTAATGAATCCATAAATGAATACACAACAGCTTGTTGAGGTCATTGAGGCGTGTTGTGTTAATTCTATGACACTATTCTTGGTTTCAAATGGAAAACCTATGACCTATTTGTTTCCTTTGAAAGCAGGCCTTTTCACATTTTAAGTTCATATGGTCATTTTTTAAGGAATAATTCACCAGAAATTTGTTGTTCACTGTATGCTGTTAATTTGTAGTTTTCTATTTTGAGAAATTTTAAAGAATGCAAATGTTTCTATTTTCCATACAATAGATGTTTATAGTGACCACAGCTGACAAAAAGCTCAAAAAATCACCTTACAAGTCATTTTCACTAAAAATTGGTCACTTGACATGCTTTGCTTGTGATACAGGCTAGAACAAAAGGATCTGTGAGCAAAAATAAATAAAACAATTTTTTTCCATGCAACACATGGTGATCACTGGCTGTCAAAGTCAGTTGCAGTTTTTTTTTAAATATTTTTTTTAACTAAAAAATAATAATAATTGTATGTGAGGTTGGGATTTGAACCAGGTTCCCCCTGCATGTTAAACAAAAAGTGTACCACAACTTACTACTTTGCCTCATGTTTTGAAAGCCTGCGAATGTCACTAATGCTAAATTATGTACAGTATAACTTATTTGAGAGTACTATATTTGATTTTAAACATGGCATATGTAAAGGTTTTTAGTAAATAATAAATTTTTTAAGCATGTTCCTCACTCAAAGCTGTCAGAAGTCATGAGAACTACTTTTATGGTGTTCTTTGTGGAGCTTGGCAGACATGGTTGCTATGAACAGTCAGTGTATGGGGGAAAAAGCAGTAAGAACAAAAAATAACAGCTTACGGGTTTGAATTGACATGAGGATGAGTAAATAATGACAGAATTTTGGTTTCTGGTTATACTGTTCATATTAAGTTAATCTAACATAAGTTGAAATGCACATTAAATGACTACAAAGGGTTGTGCAGATTTTCTCTAAATCATTATTCAATTCACAAAAACAATATTTCCTCTGTTTTAAACAGAGTTCCGACAATCTGAGGCTGTTAGACACAAGTGCCTCTTGCACTACTGGTCTCCCCACCCCAGGCAGGTGTGACTCGTTTGTACGACGTCACAAATGCGACCATGGGAAGTAGCAGTGAGTAGGCGGCAATCAACAGCCCCCTTAAACCAGAGGAGGGTCGTCGGGGAGCCTTGCATCACCCCTCTGCACCTCAGGAGAAGGTGAGGCGGCTGTCATCATTTTGAGTCAACAAAAAACATCTGCAGAGTATCTACTTACAATCTGTGTGCGTTCATGTCCTAGTCCTCCAGTACGACGTCAGTGGGGACAGCGGGATAGACCTACTGTGCACACTTCCCTACATCAGGATGAGAACTTCCACCACCCTGTCTTCTCCCAGCATCAGCAGATTCATTTAGATGAGTCCAGGCATTATAGCCACACCAGTGCACCTCCACGCATGCTGCATACTTCCACACAACCCCCCCAACAGAGCTCCATCATGGTGGATCTTCACGAACAGGTATTCGGTGTTGTTTTCCATTAGAAACAACAATTTCTGTTCCCTATATAATGCGCTATTTGACGTTCACTATATTTAATAAGTAGATGAAAAATAAAGTTATAAAAAAAGTAATATCTGTATAAATAAAATAATAAAATCAAACATTTTTGACAGATTATTTTCTGTTTCTTAGCCTACAGTTGGGCATTCATATTATATTTATATATTTTAATTTCAGGCCTTGAGAATATAAAAATAAATACATTTGTAAAAATATCAGTGTAAATGTATAAAAACTATAAAATCAAACATTTTTGACAGTTTTATTGTTGTTACTTAGGCTCTATTGGCCATTTACATTTGCATTTCAGTCCTTTAATATGTATAAAAATAAATGTATAAAGTATAAAAAAATATCAATTTAAATGTATAAAAAATATAAAATAATTTTTAATGGATCTTTCATTTTTACTTAGGCTTAGGGTGTTTATATTTGCTTTTCAGGCCTTGATTATAAAAAAATATTTTTATGAAAAGTATTAAAAAAAAAATCAATTTTAAATGTATAAAAACTATAAAATCTTTTAACATTTTTATTGTTACTTGGGCTACAATTGGACTTTTATGTTTGTGTTTCAGGCCTTCAATAAATATAAAAGTAAATACATTTAGTTACAAATACAAATAGTTTAAAAAAAATCTATTTAAATGTATAAAAATATACATTTCAAATTTTTAGTTGTTACTTGGGCTTCAATTGGGCAATTTGCATTTCAGGCCTTTTAATAAATATAAAAATAAATACATTTAGAAAAAGTATTAAAAACAAATCCTTAAGAGAACTATGGGACAGGACCCTAAACCAAAATGCAGAACATGAAAGTTGAACATTCATGAGCCAGATTAAAGCATAAGCTGGTAGTTTTGAGACCACTAGCATATAGACAAGAATTGCATTTACTCAGACTTTGATGTGAAAGTGATATGTGTAGACTGCTGTGATTATGAATATCAGAAGTAGTGTTTTTTTTTTTTTTTTACACATAACCTGAACTTTTTGTGTTGTGTTGTGTTCAAGATGCATCAAGGATCAGTTCCGATATCTTACACAGTTACCACGGTGACGACCCATGGTTTTCCCATCCACACCGGGCAACCTATCCCAGCCTGCAATGCTCAGCAGCTCCCAGCATGCTCGGTAATGTTCAGCGGACAGCTCTCTCTGCTCTGCTGCCTTCCTCCTCCAGTGAGTTTGAAAAGGAAGAGCTGGAATGTCAGTGAAGTTTGTGTAGAGCACACCTAACATGTCCCATCGCTCCAGCTTTACTTTAGCTGATGTATGTGTGTCCCAGGCAGCCATTATGCCCACATGTCCTCTTACCCAAAGATACTCTATTATGAGTGTTGTTCTGTATGTCCCTCTCATGCTTACACATTAGGCATTGGTAAACAGCTACATTCCACTTTTTGATGTTCATTTAGGCTTTTCCTGTGCCTCTAGAATGCGTAATGACCTTTTTATGATGCAACTTTCAAGGGGCAATGTGCAACCCCCTTAGTTTTTGTTTGTATTGCCACTGCAAATGTCTGGGGTATTTTATCTTTGACATGGATAGCAAAGGTGTACTTTCTGCTAAATTTATCATCTGCTCTAGTCATTGCATTTGCGTCAACATACCCACCTCTGTATTTTTTATGTGGCCACGGTGATGTACAGTTGAATGTGTCTTATATTGTGTTATATTATTATTATTATTATTATTATTATTGCTTTTATTATTCCTATTATATTAAATTATTATACAAAAAAGGGAAATAAAACAATAAAAGAAAAATATTTTTTTTCATAGTTTTCCCCATCCATAACGCTAATGCTGTTGCAATGGTTTAGCGGATTTCTAAATAGTGCAGAATAATGAAAATGTTAGATATTCTTTACTCCAGAGTATGTTAGCATAGCATGTTGCCTTCCCAGTATTAACAGTCATTTCTTAAACTGCACAGCAATTCAGCATTCAAATGCCCATTCTCCCTTTCTTCATGAATTTATCTGTGGTTAGTGACTCTTTGTTGTCTGCTATTTCTTTTTCTGTTTGTCTGCAGCTCATTCAGGCCTGCACCATGCAGCACCTGCCTGTGTCCTATCAGGCATTTCCACCATTGATCTCCAGTGAGCATTTTATCCTGCACCCCAGTCCACCAGTGCCACCCCACCAGCCTCCTCATCTGCCTCCACTCAACCAGTTTGTCCCCATACAGCCCCAGCACCCGCGCATGGTAAATGCAAATTATGTTGAAAAACATGTAATATATTTTTATAAATGCATTAGGCTGTATAAAAAATATATATACACACATACTCTCACACAACCACACATATAGCATTTAAAAGAATATTACATAGACATTTTTCACTATAATTAAAGATATATAAATATATAAAATATTACTTTCTATATGATTTTAAAAAATTGCTCAATTTTGTGCATTTCATGTAAATTATGTTAACAACATGGGTGGGTGGCATGACCAAAATCATCTTTGTATGAGTAATTTTATATCAAGGTAGCTGTAAATGTAGTGATACAACTATTTTTACTGTAAATTCAGCACAAAGACATTTAAGTAGTCATAGTGCTGTTTTTTTTAATCAAAAAACATAAATGTAGTAAATAGTTCTTTTGCTGGAAATTCAACCAAAACAAAACATTTATTTAGTATTAGTAGTAGTAGTGTTGTTCTTTTATATAATAAACCAATCAGTGTCATTTGAGTTTCCCTCTTTTGATTATTTATAATTAGATGAGTTTCTAACTTGACAAATACAAACTAAAAGATAGGCTTGTTCTAAATAAATTAATAAATCTGCCTTTAATGCTAAATAATTTTCACATTATGTACTGCTTTAGGTAAAAACAAGACTCAAAACCGTACATACATTATTGGATGAGCCATGTTTAAAGGTTCAGAATGCTGAAAAACACAATTTTTTGCTATCCAGCACTGCACAACTTGCGGTTTATTATTCCCAGTGTTGAGTGTAGTGCACTAGAGTAATACATGTAATGTGATTACTGTTCAGACAGTGTAATTAGTAAAGCAATCCCCTTACAATCTAGAGAAAACAATTAGTCACGAGTAACAGATTAGTCCCCACAACTGATTGTACTCTTAATAAGTAATTTAAAAAACAGTGTTGAATACTGTGCTGTGACAAAATGAATTCTTTCTAAAATAGCACATGATTTTATGGTATTAATAGTCATAATTGTATGCTAGAGGTATGACTTATATACTTGTGTGTTCAGCCTCTGCAGAGGGTGGAGAATGAAGTGGATCTGCGAGGAGACCAGCATCCGTTAGGAACATTCTCTTATCCTCCGGCCCACCATCCACCAGCAATGACCCCCTCCGTCCCCCTCCAGTACCTCCCCCAGGAGCCCCTCCATCAAGAGCTACCCTACGGAGTGGTGAGATGTCTTTGCTTTTGAATGTCAACAAAGCATATAAATTACTGTAATGAAGTCAAAAATGATATACTGATTCAAATGAGCAGCCGTTGCATAAACAGGTAATGACATTAAACAAAAAAAGAAAAAAAAATGGCCTTAATGTAGATAACAGAGAAGGTTTACTGGTGTGGATTAGTGTTGAAAGGTCTGGTTTAGCATAGCAAAAGTAGGTTCAAATGCCAGAAAGCAAAGTTTGTAATAGTACTACTGGTGTAACATTTTTGAATAATTGTAAACCGCAATAGTAAAAACAAAGTTGGTCTTCACAAACTTTATTTTTTGATGTTGGCTCGACATAGCTATGTCAAAGTAAAAGAAGTTTTAAAAATTATTTGTCTAATGTTGGCCTTATACACAATATGTACAAGATGGATCGATAGCTTTGTGTTTACAGTTGAACTGTTTGACTGTTTAACTGACAGTTGACATTTGGAGAAATATGGGATTTTTGATTGTGTGCTGCAGAAAAACTGTAAGTTCCACCAATTATCTTAAATTAAGATTACTAAGTTAGAAAATTGTGTTGAAATATTGAACATGGCTCAAAGCTCTAGAAAGAAAATTGTCAATATAAGCCTGTGGGAAATGGGGAACTCGAGTCAGAACAGTTTTAAAGACTGCGCCTAGTTTGGTCAACATGAAAGCAAAGTTGGCCCCATTTATGTACTTAAAGTATGTTCCTGTCTTATTGTGGGTGGTTAAATTACAACATTAATTTAACAACATTAATTTAATAATTAATTATTATTTTCTTACAACATTAGGAAGATCAGGCCCTTTCTTTCAGAACATGCTTCACAACTCCTTGTTCAAGCTCTTGTTCTGTCCAGGCTGGACTATTGCAATTTTCTCTTGGCAGGTTTTCCAGCCACTTCTATCAAACCTCTACAGTTAATCCAAAATGCCGCTGCAAGATTAATCTTTAATGAGCCAAAAAGAACGCACGTCACACCTCTATTCATCAATTTGCACTGGCTACCAGTAGCTGCTCGCATAAAGTTCAAGGCATTAATGTTTGCCTACAAAACCACCATTGGCTCTGCACCCCTTTACCTAAATTCATTACTTCAGAGTTATGTGCCCTCTAGAAGCTTGCGTTCTGCAAGTGAACGGCGTATTATTGTGCCATCTCAAAGAGGCACAAAATCACTTTCACAGACTTTTTCATTAACTGTTCCCTCCTGGTGGAATGACCTGCCCAACTCAATCCGAGCAGCTGAGTCCTTAGCCATCTTCAAAAAACGACTAAAAACACATCTCTTCCACCTTTATTTGACCCTCTAACTCTAGCACTTTCTATTCTATTTTAATTCTACTTTATCTATATTTATCTTTTTTTTTTTTTTTACCCCACTAGCTTTCTATTTTTTCTATTCTATCTACTTGTTTTTCTTTGTGTGTGTGTGTGTGTGTATAATATGTGTGTGACTTATCATTTGCACTTATATATTGTTGCTCTTTTGTTAGTTTTGATTGCTTCTATTGTCCTCATTTGTAAGTCGCTTTGGTTAAAAGCGTCTGCTAAATGACTAAATGTAAATGTTAAATGGTAGAATTAACCATCTAGAATTAACCTACTTTGCCTTTCTATTGATGTCATTTAAAATGCACAGGCTATTGGATAATACGTCTTCATTTTCCTTTTTTTCTAAATTACCTAAATTGGCCTGGTGTTGGCTCTGTTTTCCTACTGAAATGCTCTTTACAGTCCTCATACATTATATGTACGCATATTTGCATTGCTTTCTCTCGGTAGATCCCACCTGCTCACATGCCACGATTGGTTGATTATGTACAGTGCCTACGTTTAATGCTCAAGTATGAAAACAATAGGAAAACAAAGCCAAAACCCAGACATTTAAGGCAAATTAGAAATCCCGACCAGGAAAAGGAGGATGTATGGTCACCCTATTGGATAAAATGAATCAATTGCTAAATAGCAACAGTTTTACTCTCATCAGGCAATCAACCCACAAGTGGCTTATTTCTAGTCCTTTTTGTATAGTAAACAGGAATAAGGGAGTGTATTTTGCACACTTCATCTTTACTCTCAGGTTGCTCCAGGGGGATTGTCTTTGTAGTAGAAATCCTGCCAAAGTAGCTTTGGATGAGATTTGCTAAATGAATAATAATAATTAAAAGGTTTTCCTCATGTGTTGTCATCTGTTTCCTTAGCCATATCCGCACATGCTGCCAAGGCGTATAACTGGACAGAGGTACCGATTACAGCAGCATCTGCCTCCCCCGCCCCCTCTGCCGCCCTACTACCCCGGCTTCTTACCATACTTCCTGTGAGAGTCTCTTCTACTCTTTACACACATTTTGCTGTATGAATGTTTCACATTCTAATAATGGACATTGATTGGACATTGAATGGTTATGATTTTATAAAGCCTTTGTGATATTTTTCTACTACAGTGAAAGAAAAGGTTGTTTGCATAGAGTGTATGCTAATGATTTATGTGTTTGTGAAACAGCTCGATGCTTCCTGTGCCTCCAACTGCTGTGGGTCCTGCTATCAGTCTGGACTTGGATGTAGATGATGTGGAGATGGAGAACTATGAGGTAAAGTTGAGAAAAGGTTAACTTTATAGAATTAGCGAGTTACTTTAAAGAATTAAAGCTAATTTTGGAACAGAGATTATGTCATTATCTTGTTGCTGTTTGGGTGAAGAGTTTTGAACACCCGTGATTTTTTAAATTTTTTTCTCAGGCGTTATTAAACCTTGCTGAGAGACTCGGAGAAGCGAAACCCCGAGGACTAACGAAAGCTGATATAGAGCAACTTCCGTCCTACAGGTTCAATTTAGAAAACCACCAATCTGAGCAAACTCTGTAAGTGTTCTCTGTTATATGCGCCCTCGCTATATAATCTTGAAGGTTTGATTGTGACTTGGTATTGATGCTCCATTATCTTGAATTTTCTTACAGGTGTGTTGTATGCTTTAGTGATTTTGAGTCAAGGCAGCTACTTCGAGTATTACCCTGCAACCACGAATTTCATGCAAAATGTGTGGATAAATGGTTGAAGGTAAGTGATGTTTTAATGCACAAAATCTGCAATAACTAACAGCAAAACATTGTAAATATTAGTGTTTTGACCGATATAAATACTTATGTAGACTATTGTTTAAATGTATGGGATCAGTAAGATTTTTGAAAATTTTACAATGATGTCTCTTATGCTCATCAGTGTTGCATTTATTTGATCAAAAATACAGGGAAAATAGTAATATTGTGAAATATTATTACAGTTTTAAACAACTGTTTTCTGTTTGAATAGATTTTAAAATGTAATTTATTCCTGTTATGGCAAAGCGACATGATCCTTTAGAAATCAATTTAATATGCTGATTTGGTGCTCGAGAAACTTTTCTTATTATTATCAATATTGAAAACAGTTGCTGCTTAATTTTTTTGTGGAAACCTAGATTTTTTTTTTTTTTTTTTTTTTTTTGAGGATTCTTTGATGAAGAGAAAGTCTGAAAGAAAGCATAGCAATTTTACGGTGAAAAAGTCTTCACTGTCACTTTTGATAAATTTGATGCATCCTTGCTGAACAAAAGTATTAATTTCTTTAACAAAAATGTTTTTTGTGTTTATAATTTTATGATAATTAATTACTAAAATGAAATGGAAAAAATGTAAATCAATATACTCACTTAATATGTAATTTTTAGTAAATGTTGATTACATTTATTTACAAATTTACTAAAAAATGAAGACATCTGTTTTTATGCTGTCTTTAATTGGATAGGCAGCCAATGTATAGATCCATCAAAAATGTACGGAAACATCACTGGCTTGCAGAAATTAATTCGAAATATGTCTTGCAGACCAATCGCACCTGTCCAATCTGTCGAGCCGACGCGTCTGAAGTTCACCGCGGTGTGGAATGAGTTCAGGTTTTTGTCCTTCACTGGAAAACAGCACAAATCCTTGAGTGTGTTCTGTGAGTGGGGACACCTGATCTCCAGCCAAACGCAAATCTACCCCCACCCCGCTCCCAACCCCACCTCTACAATAAGCAATCTCGGAATTTGTACGGAACCTGTTTGACCTCTGCTGTGCGTCATTGTGTGAGTTTCATGAAAGCTACTGCCGCCTATAGCCTCTTCCGAGTTCTGGAATTGTGACCGGGTTTTTTTTTTGGGGTTCTTTTCATCTTTTTTTTTTCATTAACCTGCCCTTGTTTCGCAAATTCCAAAGATAACCTGTAATACGTGTTGTGTTGGCATATTCGTTTACGCAATTGAATATTCTCTAGTTGTTTGATCACAGATAATTAAAATCGTGCTTTAGTGTCGTTACGGACTGCGGGAGTGGACCTGGATGATGGTGGTTTTTGGCTTTACTGTGCAATCAGACAAGTTCGTAGGACGCGGCCGCTCCGCCAGTGAACGACCATCATAGATGCATGTCTGTATAAGCGATGGGCTGAGGGACTCGTTAATAATCTATGTTTTGCAATAATGTATTGATCATTTGAATATCTTAATCCCGATTCTCTTTTATCTGCGAATGCTGTTGTGAAGGTGTGACTTTCAGTGGTTCAGAGTTCCAAGGAGGTTAAAGAGGGAAAACGTAGACAAAAAGGACTGCAAAATGACAGACGTGAATCCATCGGGAAAATTCCCGCTGGGCTTTCACCACAGTCGTAGAGATATTGTGAAGCAGTGGCGTTTTTGCTGTTTGCTGGCAAGGCCAATCGGACTGGCCCATGAGAACACAGGGACGAAGACAGCACACTGCCTCTGCCAGCTCCCACCTGGCTGCACTGCACAACCCCCATCGATTCTGGACCGGCCCTCTTCATCCCGCTCCCTCACACTCCGCTAGATCCAGGAGAACATCTCACGGGCCTCGCGCGGACTGTTCTTTTAGACTAGCAATATTTGAATTAATGAGATCCACCACATTTCAGCCTCAAGAGGAACGTCGGGCGGTCTCCGTCTTGCCATTCTCACACCCGTTGCATTTCCGACGGAGGCCAAGGAGCTCGCATTTGCCCGTCCAGAATGACTTTTTGGGAAAGGGTGGAACACTTTGCAGAAAGCAATACGTGCAATGAGTGTGTGAAGTGAACGCAACATTTGACCTAATTTTGGAGGACTAGGCTTTTTGTTTTTCCTCATGAGCCAAATAATCAATATACTCTACAAGATTTTAGCTCTGCCTTCTCAAGACCTTGACAAGCACAAACCTGCTACTAATCTTCATACATCCTTTGTCAGTTCCTCTTTTAAAAGTAGACTTTTTTTAAGTGGTGTTATTTATTTCTTTCTTTCGAGAGAGTTTTTGAAGGATTTGGTTGGAATATTGAAACATCTTTAGTGCGTTTTAGTTTGCCTCCCGTTGTCAGGTCTCAGGCCATGTTCACAGTGTAAAGTGATGTGAAAGAAAAAACATTGTATGCATAGCCTTGGTGTGAAAGGTTGCAAATTATCGTCTTGTTTTTAAGACAAAAGAATGTTGAAACCCTCTGTATTTCTAGTTATGCCCTCTCCTGTGCGCCACTTGACTGTAGTCGTTCCACGAAGATCCCAGATAGGATTCGAAGGGTCGTTTAAAGAAAAAAAAAAATGCACTGTAAAATGTTTAACTCGTGGTTCACTCGATTCCAAAAACAAGCCTGAACTTGAACTATTTGGGAATTCTTTTTTTGTTTGTTCCCCAAGTACTTTAATTATAGGACTTTTAAATATATATATTCATGAGACGTTTGTCCACTGAATAGTCATTGTAACTCAATGGACACACTGGCTTTCTCGGGTAAAGGGACTCTCTTAAGAGAATGTGAGAATCTTGTGTTTGCGTGCCATGTTTTAAAAAAAGCCATTGTAATGAATTTAATCCACACTTTTGATAAGTAATCTATATATACATATCTGTTCACTGGCATATATTTTGAGTATAACGGAGAAAAAAAAATCACTCAGGGCCTCTCTGTAATTGAAAAATAAAGGAAAACAGTCCATTTCAAATGGGATTGATGCCATGGAGATATATTTGGGTATTCTGGGTTGTTTTCCTCAGGCCATGCTTATTTTAAATGTAATCAACTTGAACTAATATTCCTTTTATAAATAGTGGTGAATATTATTCCATTATAAGACTGGCATGCAAAGAAAAAAAAAAGATGAAGTGACATGTTGTATCGAGTGAGAATAGGCTTTTCGTCACTGCAGCCGATCATTAGCGTATGTTACTCGAACCTGTTTTGCAGCTGTTGCGTTTTTCCGTGTTCTTGTACTTGAACCACACATAAAGGTTGTAATACCGTTGAAAAACGTGCCACGGTGCACACTGTCCTACCTAGACCACTTCCAAGACTATTCTTACAGTGTTTGCATGATTTAAGGATTCAAAAAAAAGAAAAGGAAAAAAAGGTCAAATAAAAAATGAAATCTGTATTTTCAGTGAAAGAGATTTAGACGGGTGGGCAAGTATTTAATTGTGCATAATATGCATGCATGTCTAACCAGGTCCCAACTGGTTTTTTAGGTAGATCTAGTTGGCTTTGGGTTCTGGGTGTAGAGGACTTTCTGCTCAGCTGATAACTGCCATGCACTGTACTGCACACATTTGTAATAGAACCGAATGACTACAAGATTTTATTGTGCTTGTACTTGCAAAAGAAAGAAAAAATAAGAATAATAATATAGGACATTTAAAATAAATAACATTAAGCTTGATGCCAGTGGGAAGTCAGTGGTTTTTTGAAGTGGAAAAATGTGATTTGATAGGCTCCTCACCACATTTGTGCTTCTATTGTTGCCTCAGTTACTGACACACTTGCCTGGAATCTAGATAATGGAAAGCCATATAGTAAAAAAGGTGCTAGATATTCTATATTTAGGTGTAATGCTACATTCACATAAGAGAATGCAATAGTTTGTTATGGGTCTCTATTCATACAGCATGCAGTGCTACTAGTACCCTCACGGTGGTCAGAAACAATTAATAACATTATCAACAGGGGTTTCAATTAAGAAAAAAAAAGAAAAATATTTAGCTTTACTTGTATGCACTGGTAGACCATTTTAAAGAATAATATTGTTTTACTGCCCGAGTGATCAGATTCAATACATCTGCCTTAATAAATCAAAGTAGTAGGAGATTTCGTGTGGGTTGAAAAACACGGCGTTATCACTCATTCACCAAAACGGTCAGAAATATATGTACCTGTTGTGCGGTTCTCTCTACCTTGAGCATCTGTAACTGTTATGGTTTAAAAATAAGTTGTTGATATACACGCAAGCACTTTTGCTTGGGGTAACCGGCTGTGGGCTATTTCTAATATATCCTTATTTAGATTTATAAAGGAATTTTTCATAATAACCAAGATTCCTTGAAAACCTCAGTGTTACCTGTATTGAATTACTAAAGCTATAATTTTTTTTCATTCCATTGGAATCATTGTTTGTAGCATTTAACATATAACTAGTTATAGTGTATTATAAATACATCTGTATACTGATTGAAATTTTTAAGATTTGTACTTTTTTTAAATGAAAGTTGCAAGTTCTGCTTTACTGAGTAGTGCAATCATATTTTTTTTTTAAATTGTGGCTGAGAGGGTTGTTCACTAATAAATGTGTGATGTATACTCATACTACACTGACTAAAGGAATCACTGCTTTAAACGTATTGCACAATACAGATGTGTCGCAGTTCAGTTACTTGTCTTGGGGGTTTCTGTGTCTCAAAAGAGTTAAAAAGTGAATCTCATAAAGAATGTTTAGGTCATATTTCCCCATTTAATCAAAAGCAATAAACCTTAATCTGTTTAGACGGCATGCTAAATTTAACGTGGATGTAAACAAGGCTGTGAGGTGTAGACTTAGTCTTTACATTGGCACGCACTGTATAGATATCCCAGGTCATGTAATTTTCTGATTTGTTTCAGATTTGTTTTATTTTCATCTTTCAGATTTAGTTTGTCTACTGAACTTTTTTTCTTCTTCAGAAAGACATTTCATCAGCTGAACAATCATGTTGTTAAACAACAGGACCATCCATTGAATGCACTACTTCTGACACAGCCTCGTTTTCATTCCTTTCAAAAATTGAATATTGTGCTACTCTAAGTTCTATAATATATTTTGTATAAAAAATTATTCCGTAAAAATTTAGACCTAGGGATGCCAAGTATGTCAACATATCATTTATAGGTCAATATCAGCCTCTTTTTTTTTGTTAAATTTGTTTTAGGAAGAAATTGAACATTAATTGTTTCCTTTTTTGCATCTAGGAACATCCATAGATTACTGCAAAAAATGTAATTATATATATATATATTATTATTTTATTTTTTTTCTTGGAAAATTTTTAACTATTAAAGTTACTTTGAGATGTGCAGTAAATTCTGTTTCAGACCACACACACAAACGCTGTGGAATATTACCCAAATGTGTCCCTGGACCACAAAACCAGTCATAAGGGTCAATTTTTTAAAATTGAGATTTATACATCAACTGAAAGCTGAATAAATAAGCTTTGCATTGATGTATGGTTTGATTTTACTGGGTTTTTTTGTGATCAAATACATGCGGCCTTGGTGAAAATTTTAAAAACATTAAAAAAAATTTGAACGGTATACTTTTATATATTTATATACTTTTATTGTAATATAAAATAATTATATCGGTTGACATAGCTCCCACCACTAATTAGCATATGTGACCCTGGATCACAAAACCAGTCATAAGGGTCAATTTTTTTAAATTGAGATTTATACATCAACTGAAAGCTGAATAAATAAGCTTTGCATTGATGTATGGTTTATTAGGATAGGAAAATATTTGGCCGAGATACAACTGTTTGAAAATCTGGAATCTGAGGGTGCAAAAAATATTGAGAAAATCGCCTTTAAATTTTTCCAAATGAAGTTCTTCGCAATGCATATTGCTAATCAAAAATTAAGTTTTGATATATTTACAGTAGGAAATTTACAAAATATCTTCATGGAACATGATCTTTACTTAATATCCTAGTGATTTTTGGCATAAAAGAAAAATCGATAATTTTGACCCATACAATGTTTTTTTGGCTATTGCTAAAAATATACCCAAGCGACTTAAGACTGGTTTTGTGGTCCAGGGTCACAAATAATCATTCAAATTCTGGTTATGGCTCTGTGAGTTCTATTATCTAGCCAGCATCCCATAGGTACCTCCTTTAATTATAATAAATTATAACTAATATTATAAATATAATTTTTTTTAATCAAACTGTATACATTTATCTATAGCAGATTTCAAAATAAACATTCATACAATATTATCATACTGTACATTATAACGTTGCCTAGATTCACCTCTAGCATACAAAAACAAAGTATACTTAAAGTATAGATTTAAAATATTAGTCATAAAAATATATATATTGCCATATTGCCTAAAATATCAATGTATCCCTATTTAGGATTTTATTTATTTTTTGCATTGAGACATTATCAATTAATTCATATTCTCAATGTTCATCATTGCTATGATACAGTAATATAAATCAACCAGTCTGGACATGATTTATTAATTAAAATCAGAATAAAGGCAGTATAACAAATACTACCATGGTATATAAATACTGTACATTTTTTCTACATTAAAATGTGAAAATGTCACAATGCAAAGAAAAAAAACAAACATTTAATTTAGTGAAATGTGACCAATCTTCTGACCAGCTTTATGAGATTCAACCTAATAGTTCAAACTCACATTCAAACACTTAATGCTATAAAACAAGGTAATCTGGGTTACTGCCTCTCCAATTACTTTATGAAATTTTACCATGAATGTTTTAAGTCATTATTTATCGCCATAATTTATTTCCACATACCTACAAAAATATTAAACTTGCCATGGCTTCAGGTTTGTGTAGCAGGCTGCAATGCAAATGTTGAACATGCTTGAACCAAAACATTGTTAGTCAAACCACAACAACATTTTAAAATGTTTAATTTAGAATTGGAAAATGACATCTTTACATGACCAGAACCATCAGATGGACGACAGGCAACATAGGCATCTATGAATTACCACAGGCACACTATGGGCCTGGGCAGACTTGCACTATACTCTATATAGACAAAGCCACATGGAAAAGCTGTTGCCTTTAGTTTTCTTATTTGAATTCTCTTGAACCGCAAGCAGCCCATCGGATCCTTTGCCGACAACCCTCTTTTGGTCGTTAGATGAGATACATTATATGGTCGACTTTGATTTGCATTAAAAAAAAGAAAAGAAAACAGTTGTGGCTTCCAAGCTTGTCCTTAAATATCTAGGTCATATATTTACAGGGCCGTTCACCTTGCACTCATTTTACGGAACAAAACTTCACTGCAGGGAAGGATGGGTTATTTTTCTTTTTTTCTTTTTAAATTCAGTAAAAGGTTTATCTCAGTGACCCCTCATCCAGGCCATCAAACAGAAGAACAAACTGGAGGGGAGGCGGGACTTGAGTGGTGAGCAGGGGGTTAGCTAAATGTCAATCGTCTGTAAGGTCCTGCACAAAGAGGACTTCTGACCGGCTCAGACCGGCCTCCCTCAGAGTGGGGGGATTGGGCTGCTCTTCCATCGGCAGGCAAGGCAGGACCCGGCGTGGGAAATTCGTTACTATTTGGAATTTCTCAGGGGTCTCTTTCAATGAAAACAGGAAGTCGTGTATTTCCTAAAAGGAGGAAAAAGAAGTTTTAGACACTGGTTTTCAGTTCAAAATTTAAAATACAGTTTTTTTTTATATTAGGTATTGTATAATACAATAAAACACTAAGCCTTGTTTTTCCCCAAACATCAGCGTTAAAACCCTGAAAACAGAGTGTCTGATGAGCCTGTGTTCTTATCTTTAACAACAGACGCTGATATACTGTTATGGTACTCCACACTGCACAAACAAGAAAAAAAATAAAAATAAATGAAGGGTGTTTACCGCCAATGACTGGCTGAAGAGGAATCGTCGCTCCACGCGGGTATCGTTGGGCAGTTTGAACACTATTTTGACACTGTCTGGGTCGTCCAGGGGCGGCTCAGGAGGAAGACACTCAGACTTGCGCTCCTTCTCTTCTTCCAGTGTCTGTAATTACATAATCATTAGGAAGTCATTAAGTGTGATTAATCATAGCTACAGATGTCAGAAATTTGTCAACTTACTAAACAAACGGGCATCATCAACAATTACATGTGATGTGCAAAGAAAGGGACAGCAGGTTTTAAGTTAGAGACAGTATATGCAACTGTTCTCAAGAGTATGAAATGACAACATACTTTCGTCACAGACAGTACAATTTTTTACTGCTTTTTGTTGATTTAATTTCTATTTAAATCCGATTTTGTTATTTTTCTGTGATCAGTTACTTAAAAAAATTAATTATATCCTGTAATTCAATGTTTTTTTAAAAGATTGACAGCAATGTTAATTGTCGAATTCATTTGTAAATTAATTTTTCTTTACATAATAGCAAATTACTTAATTTGCTTACGAAGAGTAAATTACTTACTCTTCGTCTCCTCTCTTCGGCAAGGATGCTCTGGCGTGCATTCTCTTCCTCTTGACGTTTCTGCTCTTGTTCTTCTCTTTTCTTTCTGTCTTTTTCCTGGTCTGCACGGAGGGATGCCACTCAGGGGTCTCTTTCAATGAAAACAGGAAGTCGTGTATTTCCTAAAAGGAGGAAAAAGAAGTTTTAGACACTGGTTTTCAGTTCAAAATTTAAAATACAGTTTTTTTTTATATTAGGTATTGTATAATACAATAAAACACTAAGCCTTGTTTTTCCCCAAACATCAGTGTTAAAACCCTGAAAACAGAGTGTCTGATGAGCCTGTGTTCTTATCTTTAACAACAGACACTGATATACTGTTATGGTACTCCACACTGCACAAACAAGAAAAAAAATAAAAATAAATGAAGGGTGGCTCTGGCGTGCATTCTCTTCCTCTTGACGTTTCTGCTCTTGTTCTTCTCTTTTCTTTCTGTCTTTTTCCTGGTCTGCACGGAGGGATGCCAGGTAAGCTTCATCTTGCTGCTGCCTCAGTACCTGCGTCTGATTCCTCTCCTCCCTGGAGAGCGGGAGAGAGATAGATAGATAGATAGATAGAGAGAGAGATTATGTACAGTGTAGTTTCTTTTTAATGTTGTAATTAAATGCCCTTCACACATCTGGGTGAGTTTCAATTCTTCAGAAAGCTAATGACGTAATCTTACCGCTCTAGTCGTTCTGACATGAGATATGTCTGGTTTGCCTCCATGATGAAGGTCAGCTGGTTAATAAGATCCTCAGGCTGGATCAGCCCCTCCAGTCTCCCAACAACTGTCATTTTGCGGTCCTTCAGCATGATCATAGCCAGGAAGGGATAGGTGTTCTCACGCAGGGCCTGAGAGACTGAACACAC